TCATCCAGTTGTTTTCACAGTAAACAACTCACGAATGTGCTGGAATTGTGACTAGGTATTTTGCACTCCAACATTTAGTCATAGTCTCTTCTCTCCAGAGGGAGGAGGAGGAGAGAAGAAGAAAGGGAAGGGAGAGTGTGTGTGTGTGATGGGCAAGCCAAGCTCCTTGAAAGAAAGCCCCGGTAGGACCCCTGCCCGACGGGTCCACTGTCAATGACTGTGAGGATCTGTGGGACTGAAGGCCAGGGCAATGTGTAGGCCACCTTTTCCAAAAAGAACACCACCTTGACTAATCAGATTACTGTGATTATGTGCCAGGCTGTGTGGGGAATGCTGCAGCCCTGCTGACCTTCCCAAACCTTATTTATATAAACAGCCCCCAAAACATGTCCACTTCAGAGCACTGACTTCAGTTTGTTGGAATCTGTGTTCCTGGTAAGCCATCCTTCAGCTTGGTGTTCAAATAAAGTCTGCACTTAACCATATTTCCTGAATCTCGTTATTTAAGGTCGACAATATGTATGTGTGTGTATATGTACACGGGTGAGACAGTAGTACAACCTCTATGGAGATCAGTATGGAAATTTCCCAAAGAACTAAAAGTAGACTTAATCATTCAATCCAGCAATCCCACTACTGGGTATCTACCCAAAGGAAAAGAAATCATTCTATCAAAAAGACACCTGCAGCCCTATGTTCATCGCTGCACAAATCACAATTGCAAAGATATGGGATCAACCTAATTGCCCATCAACCAAGGAGTGGAAAGAAAATGTGGTGTATATATGCCATGGAGTACTGCTCAGCCATAAGAATGAAATTATTATGTCTTTTGTAGCAACTTGGGTGGAACTGGATGGAGGCCATTATCCTAAGTGAAGTAACTCAGAAACAGAAAAATAAATGCCACATAGTGTCACTTGTAAGGGGGAGCTAAACTATGGGCTACACAAGGACACGCAGAGTGGTTGGTATGATGGACAGTGTAGACTCAAAAGGGGTGTGGGAAGAGGTGGAGTATGAAAAAAGTTCCTGTGGGGTACACCGTACACTATTCAGGTGATGAGTAAATAGTCTCATTTCACCACCATACAATATGTACATGTAACAGATTCAACTTGTACCCCTAAATCTATTAAAATAAAAATTTAAAACAAGAAAGGTGAGATAGTTTCAGCCAACCACATAGGTAGTCCTAGAGCCACCTCAACCCTCCCCACACGTTCCTCATATTCTAACCACCAGAAGCCCTTACTTACCATTCTCCAAGCAAAGCCTGTGCTTTTTTTTTTTTTTTTTAACAGAGTCTTGCTCTGTCACCCAGGTTGCAGTGCAGTGGCATCATCATAGCTCACGGCAGCCTCAAATTCCTGGGCTCAAGCGATCCTCTTGCCTCCGCCTCCTAAGTAGTTGGAATTATGGGCCTGCACCACCACACCTACCTAATAATATTGTAGAGACAGGATCTTGCTATGTACCCCAGGCTGGTCTTGAACTCCTGGGCTCAAGTGATCCTCCCACCTCTGCCTCCCAAAGTGCTGGATCACAGTCATGAGCCACTGCACCCAGCCAAAGCCTATACTTTACTGCCTGTACCTTTTCCCCTTTTTTATCTTCCTGCTAAAATTGTTTAAGACTCAGCTCAAATACTACCCAACTCATAATTCCTCTGGGTCCTCTTACCTCTTCCTTTCAACCTCCTCTGGTATTTATTTCTTGGCTTTCATTCTGTATCTGCATGGGGGCTGGGGGGGTCCACCCAGGGACTTTAGCTCCACTCAGCTGTCTCCCTGATGGGCCTGGGAGGTGAGCTCTGCCACTGTCCAAGCTCCCTCCCTCCCTCTCTCCCCCGAGAGCTGGGTGAAGTGGAGAGCGCGCTGCTGCAGATCTTGACATGTGCGACTGCAGTGCCTGTTGCGTGGGCATGACGAGTGGGTGCGTCAGGACGTGAAATGCAATCTTCCTCCGTGTTTTCACTAACACACTAAAGATTCCATTCACATGTGTTGCTTGTCTGTCTCCTCTTATCAGCAGTGTGAACTCCACCAAGGCAGAGATTTTGTCCGTCGTGGCCCCCTTGAACCCTCAGCCACTGAGGCATAGCGCCTGGTACAGAGCAGGCACTCAATAAATCATTGAATTAATGTGTCTCAGGCAAGAGGAACAAGACAGATCTCACAACAAAACCATCTTAAGTCTGCAGAGAGTGTGCATCAGGGTATAAGGCAAAGAGATGAAGTAACAACTACGCAAATTGCCAGAGTATCCCGGCCACTCTAGGATTCTCCAAATCCATCGACAGAAGCCCGCTAAGAACCCTGGGGACATGCACGCCACCACCAAGTCTGTCCCTGTGCAGACCCGTGTACCTATCCCTGAGGACACACACACATCTTAAGATGCACACGCACTTTTCCCAAGCCTCCTCTTCACTACATTGCCCTGGATGGGTGTTAGGGCTGAATTGTACCCCCCACCCCCCAAAAAAAACTCATATACTTAAGTCCTAAACCCCAGTTCCTCCAAATGTGACTATATTTGGAAAGAGTGTCTGTAAGGAGATAATTAAGGTAAAATGGGGTCATTAGGGTGGGCCCTAATCCATTATGACTCATGTCCTTATAGGAAGAGCAGATTAAGACACAGGCACACACAGAGGGAAGACCATGAAGACACAGGGAGCAGATGGCCACCAACAAGCCAAGGACAGAGGCCTCAGAGAAAGCCAACCTGCCAACACCTTCATCTCAGACTTTTAGCCACCAGAATTATGAGAAAATGAATCTCTGTTGTTGAAACTATCCGGTCTGTGGTACTTGTTATGACAGCCCCAGGAAAGTAATGCCATGTGGACCCCAAAGGGAAACGTGTTTTTGTTAAGGATGCCCCAGCAGAAGGCAGGCTGGTAAACTGCTCAATAAATGGAACAGACACAAAGAGGGGGAAAAAAAAAAAAAAGAAAGAAAGAAACAAAGGCATAATGCATTGACATTTTTTATATTTGGTATTTGTAAGTCTTTAAAAAAATTTTTTCAGGCCATTTTTTCCTTAAAAAAAAAAAAAAAGCAACCAACAGCAATACTCTGTACAAGTATAACAAACATTAGAAATATGCATCATTCCAAAATAGTTACAAGAAAATTACAGTTTAGAGTCCACATCAACACATCCTATTCATATGTGCCCCCAGGGAGAAAAAGCTACAGTATGTTAAACACACAACCGCTACACAGTAGTCTGAAAACCCAGCACTTGGACTTTGGAGGCAAATTAACATCAGTCACTGAGACTTATTTAGCTCAATAAGCACGATCAAGCACTTCAAAAGAAAACCAGGCTTTTGCATCCCAGGTGAAAAATAAACATGACCCAGCTGCATAGGTGACCCCCACCGTCACCCCTGGGGGCCTCCTCCGACTCAACAAAGCACAAATCCAGTGAAGTCGATCAGGCCAAAGTCTGGCTGGAGGTCACAGTGTGGCCACGGTGGACAGACACCAAATGCCATTTCCTACTGGTGCCCATCATCATCAGATTCGATGCTGGAGGCAAAAGGTCCTTGTTCTTGGGAGAAGATGTCAATGGCCCAAATCCCCCAAACCAGCCGGCCACCCTTCTTTGGCCCTTCCGCTGACAGCCAGCCACACTGGCTCCTTTTCCGGATGCCCTCACCAAAGACTGAGCAGGGGGCTCCCCGAATCCACTGGACTCTCCAAATTTTAGTTCACTGTTGCTGGGAGCGTCCGACAGAGCTCAGAAGCACCTTCCTCTTGCCACCGAACCCCAGCCTGTGTGTCCTTTGTATTTACACACTAATCCCTTTTCAAGCACTGTGCTATAAATACCCTCACCACCCCCACAGCCCTGGCCCCAGCCCTCTTCAGGATGCAGGGAAGCATCGTGACCTTCGTGCGACCTGCCCATTTGGAAGCCCCGACCTCTCCCCACAAGACTTCCTCCGGGACAGCTGGGGCTGCTGCCCGTTTCCCAAGCCCACACCAGCCGGAAGGGAGGAGGGCTGCTGTGCTTTGCATTTTTATACAATATGTTTACAATTATGTTGCTTTAATCTTTTAAAAGATTCTAATCTTTTAAAGGATTTTTGAGGGACAAGTCCCTTAACTTCTCCATGGCAGCCATGTGGGCAGGGCAGGGCTTAGGATCCACATGGGATCTAGACACCGTGATGGTTTTGGACAAATAAGAGGGGAAGGGGGCATGGCCCACAGAACTGCTGCCTGGACAGGGACCTCTGAAAGAAGCTATGGGCGTCTCTGAGACCTGCAGGAGCCAGGGACAGACCTGGCTGTGGTCTGGAAGGAAGGTGCGGTCTGGAAGGAAGTAATCCGCCCAAACCCAGCTACACTCAACACCCCCTGGGACAGCGTGGCTTCCCTAAGTCACACCTCCAGAGCCGAGTCCCCTCTGAAGTTAGGTCAAGAGGACCCGACCTGGCCTGGCCAACCCATTCCTTTAAGGACCTGATACTAAACAAGCTGTGTGCTACCAAAAAAAATGCAAAGGATTCAGCAAAAAGTGCAATTTCCAGTGGAGGAGTAAGATTCTCCCCAAAACATGCCACCACCATGACCTCTTATTTTAATCCTCTCAGTACCTCAAAGGGAAGGGGGGACAAAAGACATACAGCACGACACCTGGGACCCACATCAAGGGCTCTAAGTACACGGCGGTTCACCCCTTATGACCAACCTAAAATACCCATTAGCACGTCCAGTCAGTTATCAAAGTGCCGGTGAGGTGAGGAGCGCGGCAGCGTTGGGAGACAGGCCCCCAGACAGAGGTCAACAGTGACCAGGGCACTGGGAGAGACCCCACTCCAAGAGGACACGCGTGTCCTGTTTCCAGCAGGCTGCGTGACTGTGGAAAACGGCCACAGGACCCCAGGGACTTGGTTCTTCCTTCATAAAACCTTGTACACTTCATTGTCTATTGGAGGATAAAGTCAAAATCTTCTTCAGAATATAACCTGAGCCACAATATAAAATAAAAAGAAACAAATCCTTTCATGTAATGCCTTGAGAAGTTTACAGATTATGTACCAATAAAATAAACCCACATAAATTCTGAAATGCTTGGTGCATACACACCTGAAGCAAAAAAAAAAAAAAAAATTAATCTACATTTAAAAAATATCAAAGTAATTACAGCAGCAGTATAGTGAAAAGAGGTTTTAAAAATAATAATTACATCTTTGATACAAATTCAAACTTTGTACACCTCGATTCATAGGAATGACTGTTTTGGAGAGTTTAGTGTATATATATATATATATATATACACACACACACACACACACACACACAGTAGATTCCGATATGTGTCACTGCAGATAGAGACTAAAGCCAGTGGACTTTGGGGGAAGAGGGATTAATCTGACACTGAGTTCACACTGAAGTGTTCACAGATTGCCACGCTGTTAAACTCAACACGCACACATGCACACACGCACATACACAGACACATACAAAATGCCAACCTGAGTAAAACGTTACTAAAAACCTAGAGCATCATGAATCACTAAGTCACATATTGCACCTTTAAATAATCCTTCTTACCAAATACAGAAATGAGAAAAAGAATGGAACAAAGACAAGAAAAGGATTTATGTTACCATACGATCCCTCGGCTTCTCCCACTCCTACCCACAGAGATTCTCAAGGTGACGTTCAGTCTCCATTCCCACCCAACCCATGGGCTCAAAATGTTGCCAACAGAAGAGTCTTTGGAGAAAACTGGGAGGGGAAAAAGGAAGGAAAAGTGGAGCACAAATGCACAGGGGGGTGGGAGAAGTGGATTTGGGGGCAGAGAGGCCTCCTCTAACCAAACGAGAACAGGAATGTTACTGAGAAGGCAAACCTCTGATGCTAAGCTACTGCTTAAATATTCCATATATTCCAATTATGAGATTCAATACAAAAATAGAGACATCTACTGAGTTTTGCCTGTGGAAGCATAATTCAGAAAAGGCACATGTTCAAATAGAAAACCCACTCGGAAGAGGCGACACATGCCCCTCCCTACACGATAATCATCCGCAATTAGGTATTTTCCATCAGCTAGATCCCAAGATACAGTAGGTAAAAATAGACTTCTGATACTTAAAATATATTCAACCCAACACAATCCTGGCTTTAGCATGTGAATCATATAAAATAGTCTTTTTAAAAAAAAAAGAACCTGTTTTGAAAAAGAAAAAGAAAATCATAGCTCACTTTTCCTGGTTTTCCACAACTCTCATAAAAAAAAAAAAAAGTGAACTCATCCCATTGGTAATCAGGAATGCAGTTGGTTTGCTCACCACCCATCCACAGCCCCCCCCCACCCCCGGCAACCCCAATTTCTCCTTGTCATGTTTTACATGTGCAGCGTCACGCCCTCAAAATTAGTTCTAACGAAACAGAACAAAGAATTAAGATATTAGACATATAAAAACATGTCAACATCGGGGCATGCTCCTTTGCTGTGGGTGTGGCGGTCTGGTGAACTCCAGAAAGGTTTTCCTTTGGAATTAGGAGATGTAACCATTTGTCTTTCCAAATGTGGTCACAGGCGCGAGGTTTTCATAGATTGTCATTGCGGTTGTGTTCTGGTAGATGAGATCTACTTTTGAGTCTTTCTGGGATCTAATAATATCCAAAACACACTGGTTGAGGAAAACATACTGGTCCTAACAGAAAAAGGAAAAAGAGAGCAAATGAGCGCAGGTCCCAGAGATAAGCACCCAGAATTATTTTCACAGATCAACCCTGACCCCACCCCCAAACGCCATCCATCCACCTAACAGCACACAGTTTGAGTGGACATGTTTCAAGAGGTAACAACATTCTGGTGAAATCCGAAACCACAGAGAACAACACTCGCCTCATCAAAGATACCCGATCAGAGAAGCACACTCCACACCCCCTCCCCAAGGAGAAGCAGCAGAATTGGGGGGAAAGGCAAAGGAATAATGTGGAGGAAATAATGCACACATATATTCGAACCATAAAAAAGCTCCAGCAAGATTTCCTTGGCTGGTGAGGCTGTGCAGAATGAGAGTAAATTGTAATTCTCAACCGAGGAGGTGAGTTAAAAGGGTATGATCGGGTGCATTTGGATGGGGACCACCTTTAAGGGAGTATTACAATCTGGCAGGTGGCCATTGTAATAGAGAGAGAAGAGATAAATGCTGACACAGAAAGACATCCATAGTCCTGTAAGAGGGGGGGGGAAATCACGGGAATGCATTATATATAAAACAAGATCCATTTTTTTCCAAATACTCCCCATGCATGTGTGTGTTTGTGTGTGTGTGTGTTTACAGATGTATATAAAGAGGCCTGTAAAGACATATGCCAAGCTGTAAATATTGGCTACCTCTAGAGAGAAAAAGTAACAAAGAAAGATATATTCTATGTAGCCCTGTATTGTTAAATTGTTTTAATAAGTATTGTTTCCAGAATATTAAAAAAAAGAGAGGTGAGAAAAGAATTTGGTGGCAGGTTTAAGATTTCTGCGTTTCTCAAAAAAGGATAAAAGATTGAGAAATACTACTCTATATAATAACAGCAGAAAAAACAAAATCTCTCTTCTGACCAACATGGGAGGTGAATTTCACTCTTTCCATCACAACTACGGACCTCACCCTAAAGCACACAATGTACCCAGGCCTCTAGAACATTCCCTGCCAGACTCAAAAATACAGCATATATTCATGGAGTTTTAAATCGGTGCAGGGTGACAGCCTGGTGCAGAATTAATATTCTGCTCTCATCCTTGTCAAAGCACACTCACCCCTTTCAGGAAGGCTACTTCCCAGTATGTTCCGCTGAAACCTGCCTCAGAAACATTGTTTCCCAGTAACATTTCAGGGAAAGCCAAATGCAACAGTCTTACAGAAATCATGCCACAGATAATTAACACCGCCAGCCATCCTTCCATAGCTCTGATAACTGACGTTCTTTAATGTTTACAAAGCTGGGTGAGGATGAATTGCTGTATTAATACTTAAGTGGCATTATGCTATGTCATATCATTCATATTTGATAAAATTGTTTCATTAGCTTATTTTAAAGATGGTCAGTCCTTCTTAGAAACTTAGAGTGAAGAACATCAGTTTTATGAATTTAAAATCCAGAAGCCAAAGTTTAGACGTTTCCTAAGGTTATTTGGAAAGTCAGAGGCAATAAGGTAAAGAATCCTGGCACTGGTTTGGTTTGCAGTTCCATTACTGGTATCAGTACTGCTTTGTCACTTGTATCAGGTCATTTAATCTCAAGTCAGTTTCAGGTCTGCAAAGCAATCCAGTGTTTCACAGCCAAGAGTCGGCAAGATCTGGAAGGGTGAAATATTTTAACCCAAGTGTGTGACATAATGTGACCTCTTAAAAATGGATGGGAAGGGTAGAACATCAAGCCAGACCCCGGCCTCACCTCTGTCTGCACCATTAAGGGCCTGTGCATCCGAAGGTCATATACAATCCCATACACATCCACAGTGTTCTCATTCTCTATCTGGTAGATCAGACGATCAATGGCAATGAAAGTGCCCGTCCTTCCAACCCCAGCGCTGAAAGAGAAAGGAAACACGCACATTACAGTGGGCTACCTCTCCCGCGAACCTCTCCAATTTCCCCAGGAGCGCAGGCGTCTTGCTTTCCTCCACGATCACGCTTTGAGAGCAATGCCCAGGTAAACATTCACTCAGGTGAAGCCTCAGCAAGTCAGACAGCACTAGCTTGGGACTCGTACCTAAGTCCCAAACTTACTTTTGAGTCAAATGACAGAAACACCTTGCTAGAGCTTCTTAAACCTCACTCCCATTCAAGTTGCCACCATCATCCAGGATAGCAAGTTTCATCAATTCATTTCCCATTGGGCAACAAAGCCCCTCCCTTCTTCTGTTCTAAATTCATTCCCTTTGCTTTAGAGCTAACTTATTGTCCTAGAGTGGGGATGGGGGGTAAACTTTTCCATAGAGGCCCAGCTAGTAAGCATCTTCAGCTTTGCAGACCATAGGGTCTCTTTCTGCCACTGTAGCAGAAACGCAGCCATAAACAGTACGTAAACAAATGGGCATGGTTGTGTCCTAATATAATTTTATTTACAAAAACAGGCAACTGATCAGATCTGGCCCATGGGCTATAATTTGCCAACCCCTGTTCTAGAGTCTCGGGGTTTAGGGAGTAAGTCCACGGTGCCTTATCTGAACCTTTCTCAAATTTCTAAATGCCTATTGCATTCCCTCTTATGACTTGCTAATGCAAAGTGCTCATAAATATGTAATTATTACATGTGAAATCTGTCCCACATGACCTGCCATCTGCGTACCTGCAATGCACGAGAATTGGCGATTCAGGAGGACTCTGCTTCATGTAGTCACGAACGAGGTACCGAAAGTTGATGAGCAGGTCAGTGGTGTCGGGAACACCATGGTCTGGCCAGGAGGTGAAATGGAACTGTCGCAGGGGATGACTTTCACTTGTTGGGATCTAAAAGCCAAGAAAAGGAGTTAGATTCAGAGAGAGAGGCTGCCTAAACCATCAGAAAGGCAAATGATACCACTGTAGGATGACTAGAGTTAACAATAATAGTTTCCAATAGCTAGAAGGAGGACATTGAAGTTTCCAACACAAAGAAATGATCAACACTTGAGATGATGGATATACTAATTGACCACTATATATACTATGTATGGAAACATCATTACATACCTCATGAAGATGCACAATTATTATTTGTCAATTGAAAAATAAAATAAAATATCCAAGTTTAATAGGGAAAGAAAGGCAAGAGGAACCAAGCAGAGCCTGAATACAATACCACACAGGGCAGATGACAGGCAGCTAACCAGGAGGGGTTAGCTAACTGGGAGTAGTTACCACTAAAAATCAGAATTTTAGGCCAGGCGTGGTGGCTCATGCCTGTAATCCTAGCACTCTGGGAGGCCGAGGCAGGAGGATCGCTCAAGGTCAGAAGTTCGAAACCAGCATGAGCAAGAGTGAGACCCAGTCTTTACTAAAAAATAGAAAGAAATTAATTGGCCAACTAAAAATACATAGAAAAAATTAGCCGCCAGGCATGGTGGTGCATGCCTGTAGTCCCAGCTACTCGGGAGGCTGAGGCAGAAGGATCACTTGAGCACAGGAGTTTGAGGTTGCTGTGAGCTAGGCTGATGCCATGGCACTCAAGCCCGGGCAACACAGTGAGACTCTCTCAAAAAAAAAAAAAAAATATCAGAATTTTACGTTTGTACAACAGCTGATAAAGTACTTGCACAGACTTTAACTTGCCCATCAAACCCCCACAGTATGCCCAAGAAGGAGGGTTTATTATCCTCTTTAAAGATGAGGCAGTAGAGATTCAGAGGAGAGAAGTGACTTCCCAACACTCATTTCTGACACAGCAGACATTCCTAGTCCTCTGACGTTGAGTTCAGAGCCCGTCCCTTCCCACCACAGCTGCCTGCCAATGACATGCTCACATTCTCACACCTGCACCTCCTTAGGGCTGTGTGAACCCCCTGCCCCAAGACCACCTGGAAATGTCATTGACCGTAAAACCAAAAATAATTTACACAAATACGACTATGATAATCAGTGCCTTCTGGGCAGGAACTGCCTTGCAAGGCCCCACGTCCTCCAGAGAATCTAAAATATTGAGAATTGTAGGAGGTTGAGAAAGAGCCCCCAAAAACCATCCGTTTCAACATCTGACAGATGGTAGAAAGTGGACCTGGTCATAAAAGAGTTCGGTATTACACAGACTGGGCTCCTACCTCAGACCAAAGCATGTACCTTCAATTGCCAGAACTCCACGCTGGCTAGGCCGGTCCCATCCCTGACTCAGCCGTGCTCATACACCCACCCCTGGGGAATGACCTTACCCATGCGACCCGCACCTGGACCGCAGGCATTTCCGTCTCCTTTATGACAGCCACCTTTATTGAAGCTCATTTTTAAAAAATGTATATTCATTAGAAGAGCAATGAATTTGGAATATTCAAAATTTGGAAAACAGGAGATGAAAAAAAAGGCAGAATGAGGGGAGAGGGTAGTAGGAAGGCTCATCAAATAAACTTAACAGTCACAACTTTAACCAAGAATATGCATCCAGAGAAAGAAACCAGCTGTGAGATGAGGGGGATGGAGAGGGAGGAAGCATGGAAGTTATATTTCTCAGTATTATCTGAGAAATACCAATATTAATGTTAATATTAATGTTAAAGTTAATATTAATACCGATATTAATATATGGTGATTTTATGAGATCTACCCATGTTGACCTCTTACTTACACTTTTCACTGTGAAATCTCTGATGGTCCACTCTGGAAGAACAACTTCTGATGTCATTGCCACAGTTATGTCCCCATAGTCCTGAGCTTGCTTAGAGGGCCAGTATTCTTCACATTTGGTCTAGAATAAAGTTGCATTTTTATAAAAAGATTCAGATCACACCATCTGCCATCACTAAAACCTCACAAAGGAAACCAGATAATGAAAACTGGCATCAGGGACTGAAGCCGTCCCTTACTTGGGTTCTGTTTGAACCTTAGAATTTTTTTTTACATTTACAATTCCTGCCAACTCTTTTAAAATTGGGAGCTTTTCTCATAAAAAATCCAGATTTCTGGCTTCTCTGTAAAAATCAGAATCAGAAGATTTTTTAAACAGCAGACCCTGATTTCTACATGAAAATTGATTCAGAGCTGAGCAGCAGCTATCCCCTGACCTGGGACACCATCCCCATCCGGCTCCCTTTGGCCCCTAGAGCAGCCACTCAACAACTGTTCACTGAGCTACTCTCGGATTGGCCCCTACCCCAGGCAGCTAGAAGAAAAGCGGACCTATCCCAATGCTTTCAGATAAACATCAGCTGTAATACAAACATGCCGATAAACAGGACCAAATTAAATCATTTTGGGTCTTTGATTTCTATAAAGTTGGTGGGCAGATGTGAACGGAAATAAAAACCAGGAAATGACTGCTAAGAATATCTGAATTCCCACTTGGCAAATGACTACACACTCACTCACTCTCTCTCTCTGTCTCTCTGTCTCTCTGTCTCTCTCTCTCTCTCAATGTCCCAAGGTGCGCTCTACTGAGGGTGGTTTCCAAAACTGATCATCTGACTCACCTGAGAAGTTTGTTTTATTTTAAAAACAGATGCCTGGATCCCACCTCCAGTGATTCTGACTCTGGCCACAGGATCTGTATTTTTTTAAAGATCTGAGTTTCTAGACCACTGCTCTCAGAACGAACCCAGGACTTGGATACACATTGGCAAGCACCTGATTCCCAGTTCAGCCTCTCACCAGCTGTATTTTTGCTGCTACTTTATGGGCAAGTTCTTAAACGCTCTAAGCCTCAGTTTCCCCATCTACACAATAATAATACCTCGCAGGGTTGTTACAGGGAAGAAATGACGTATGTGGAGTATCTAGTTTAGAAAATACACTGGCTGCCTTCCCCTTTCACCCAGAGTCAGTAATATCCACCTCTATCCCAACTTAAGATGAACAAGCGCCCATCTAAATTCATCTTTGTGTTCACCATTAATTTAGCTACATCATTTTCGCTTGTCTAACAGACATTTATGAGATATTACATGTATAAGGCTCTGGAATCAACAGTATTTATAAAGTTTATTCATATGTATAAAATAAATGTTCTTTCATTTCCATAATAGCCTGTTCTCCTGATGTAAGAAGTGGGTAAGGAACCCAAGCTCTGCGTCACAGGCAACATGAAGACGGGCATGATCTCTGTGTATCTTTCCCTCCTCCCTCCCCAGCTCCTAGCAGACAATTTTACACATTCCAGGGGCTGGATAAACATCTTCCAGCTTAAAGTGAAATAAAGAACATTAAAAGAAATGCCTGAGGGGTTCCCACCATCACCTGAGAACTATCAGAAATGCAATTCTGTATTAGAAAAAGTGCAGGTAGAACCACCCTCCAAGTGATTCTGATGGACGTTAAAGTTTGAGAACCACCAGCTTAAGGACTCAACTCCTATCTCTCAAGTAACAAACCTACGTTTAAAAAAAAAAAAAAAGTCACAGAGCAATATTAGGTCTCATTCCTCGGGCACAGGATTTTTGAATTTGAATTTAGCATGTGTTTTTCAGTTCTCACATCCATTTATGGAAACATGGAATATTCCTACTGGAAGAAATCTTATCTTGGATGGGAAAGACAGCAGGATTTCCAGCCATCATGGGGGACAACGGTCCGGTCCACATTCACGAAGCTGTCGTGAGCAGCACCTTGCTCCAGGCCTGGCGGACTTTCCACGGCACTAACCCACCTCCTGCTACTTCCCAACTCCAGCAGCAGTGACTTCATAAACAGAGGGCATTGATATTTGCCCACAGAGTAACGACAAAATAGAATTTTTTAAAAAACGTTTCTCTTAAGGGGAAAAAAAGAAAAGTTTCTAAGAATAAAAGTGCTAATATTTGGGCGGGGGGAAGAGTGTTTTTTTAAAGAGATAAGTGTTTTTTAAGATACCCTTCTACCACAATAAAAATTAATTTCATTTTAAAATTTTTTAAAAAATAAAAAAAAAGATACTTACCCTTCCCTGTTCAACACATTTGGTCAACATAATAATGGCATACACATTTTTCTCCCAAACCATACGCCAAAAATCTTTTAAAGTGTTGGGTAAAGGTCCTTGTGTGGCAATAAAATCTTTCTTGGAGTGGTAGCCCTAAAAGTGGACAACAACACACATTCAACCTCAAAGAAACAAAGAAGTGCTCTGAAGGTTGCGTCAGAGTGACCCAGGGCTACGAGACCGTCCCCCACTTACAGGCATGTAGTTGGCGTTGATGTAGTCATCAGCTGAGTGGGTCTGGATGGAAAGTTTGACGCGGGAAATATCATCTGTGACATTAAAAGAGAAAAGGTCCTCATTAGAAGCAAATGTTTTTGTGAAGTTGTACACAAGAGAGAAGAAAAAAAGGACAGAATGGCAACACTGGGACTTGAGTCTTCGAGGACATACAGCCTGCCATTTCACACAGACGGCTGCATTTAATCCTCACGGTCACACTATGTGACCACGGCACAGGGAGGTCAAGCGGTCACCAGAGCAGAGCTGGTGAGTGGCAGGGCCAGGATTTGAACCTGGGCAGCCTGACACCAGGGCCTAATCCAGGCGTCCTCAAACTACAGCCCGCGGGCCACATGCGGGTGTTTTTGCCCATCTGTTTTTTTACTTCAAAATAAGATATGTGCAGTGTGCATAGGAATTTTTTCATAGTTTTTTTTTTTAAACTATAGTCTGGCCCTCCAATGGTCTGAGGGACAGTGAACTGGCCCCCTTCTTTAAAAAGTTTGAGGACCCCTGGCCTAATCTCTTAACCACACCAGGGACCTTCTCAGATGAAATGAACCTGTTACTATTGGCATCCTCGGGTGTCAGCCATGAGCCAGAGAATGTGCTACACAATTGTATTTACTCCTCAAAACCACCCCACAAGCCTTTACTGTGTTACACAGATGAGGAAACTGAGGGCTGCAGAGACTAAGTGACTTCTCCAAGTCCTTGTGTCTGAGGAAGGGCACTCAGAATTCAAGTTGAGTGTCCCGTCCACTACAGCAGGGCAGATACCAAGGTTATTAGCCTCTCCACCTCGCCTCTACTGCCATATAAACAAGTTGTTATAAAAAGACAGTACCAAATTCAAGAAGTAACAGAATGTATAAGACTACTATGAGTGGAAGGATCTAAAACACAAAATTCTCATATTTTCCAGATATTATTGTCATCTCAAACACAAACTTGCCCAGCCCAAGAAATGAAATAATGTTAGAATTCCAAGTGTCAGGTGGAGCCATAAGCAGCACCACCTAAGTGTCCCCGTCTTGACTGTACTATCTCACCCTCCCCTGGGAGAAATAATCGAACAACGCCAAATCCAGCCACCAACGCCTCAGTCTAAGGCTTCCCAAGGATGACAATACCCAAACACCAAATCCCCAACTCTCACAGATCCAAGGCCTCCACAGAATCCACAAGAACAGGCCCATCCTCCCCAGTTAACCTCAGCAGGGAGGTGCTGGGGCAGGTCCCAGCAGCCTAGTTTTTAAAACATTTCCCTTAGAACGTGGGCCGATACCCCTTGTCAAGTACACGGGAGAAAAATAGAGAGAAAGAACCCGGGAGCTAGAAAATGCTGCCTCTGAACACAAGTTAATGTTTTAGTTCAGAAAAGGAAAACATGGCTTTCAATAAAAAAGACAATGTCCTGATGTACAAATGACCTACAAAGCCTAGTGATTTTGGCTAAATCAGACCCTGGCTGTGATCTACTTACACTCCTCTCTGTGCCCTAATTCCCACCCAAAAGAGAGACCATGACGAACTTTCCATGGAGAGGTATTTACATTTCATCTAATGGTTGATGTAATAAATAATTTTTGTTTTAAATTCAATTTGCTGTTATCCCTGTTGGTTGGGTTATAGACATTGTTAATTCCCCAAAATAGGAAAGACTCTAAATATCACTCGTACTTGGCTATGATACACTCGGCCCAGCAGAGGTGTGTCTGGACAAGCAGAAGTGCGACTCCCTGTGCTCGCCCACTGCTCCCTCATTCCAGAGCTACAGAAACTGAAATAAAGGGGCTGTGTGTGAGACAAAGGGGTTAAGAGCACGGACTCAGCCTTTTCCCTGAATGAGCCAGACAGACCTGGCCCAAAGCCCAGCCTTGCCATTACTATCTGAGAGACCTTGGGAAAAAAAAATCACCTGAACACTGTGCCTCACTTTCCTCATCTGCGAAACAAATATTCCACCACCTACTTGGTAAGGTTGTTGTGAGAATTAAATTAAATGCAATGCACCTACACACAGCACTTAGCTCTCAGTAGGTGCCTGATGGGCGGCTGTGGCAGTGGCTAGTTAGTATCCCTGGTTCCATCCCCCTCCTCCGTCCTGTTGGAGATGTGACGGCCAGTGATGGAAAGAAGGGATGATGCCATGAATAAAATAACTTACAGGGCAGGACGTTATTGTAGCGATTCTTCCCTCTATTCTCAGCCAGTTCAGCCGCATATTTAGGTTGACTAATTCCAACAAGCTTCAGATCCTGAAAACAAAACACATGAGTTGTCCTTTTATTTAGACTTCAACTCTTATTCACACTGAGCACAGAGCAGGACAGAACGAAGTGGGAATGCAGAGGTGTTACGGGTGAAATTGTGCCCCTAAAAGATATGCTGGGGCCGGGCGTGGTGGCTCATGCCTGTAATCCTAGCACTTTGGGAGGCCGAGGCGGGCGGATTGCTCAAGGTCAGGAGTTCAAAACCAGCCTGAGCGAGACCCCGTCTCTACCAAAAATAGAAATAAATTAATTGACCAACTAAAAATATATATACAAAAAAAAAATTAGTCGGGCATGGTGGTGCATGCCTGTAGTCCCAGCTACTCGGGAGGCTGAGGCAGTAGGATCGCTGAGCCCCAGAGATTGAGGTTGCTGTGAGCCAGGCTGACGCCACGGCACTCACTCTAGCCTGGGCAACAAAGTGAGACTCTGTCTCAAAAAAAATAAATAAATAAATAAAAAATAAATAAATAAAAGATATGCTGGGCCAGCTGCTGTGGCATGCACCTGCTGTCCCAGCTACTTGGGGGGCTGAGGCAGGAGGATCCCTTTAATCCAGGATTTGAGTCAGCCTGGACAACGACACCCTGTCTCTCTTTAAAAAAAAAAAAAAACATTGGATTTCTAAACTGCAGTACCTATAAGTGGGATTTTATTTAAAATGAAGTCACACTAGAGTAGGGTGGGCCCTTAATTTAATATGAGTGGTGCCCTTATAGGAGGAAAAGAGACAAGAGACGCCGAGGGGAGGTGGCCGTGGGAGATGAGGGCGCAGAGCAGACTGATGCTGCTGCAGAACCGAGGGAGGCCTGCAGCTGCCGGGACCGAAGAGGTGAGGAAGGGTCAGAGATTTAGGAGGAGGTGTGTCTACCGACACCTTGACTTTGGACTTTGGGCCTCTAGAACCAGGAGACAGCAAATTTCAGTTGTTTTCCGCCACTGGGTTTGTGGTGCTTTATTACAGCAGCCCCTGGAAACTAATACAGAGGTTACAATGAAAGAAAAGGGACAATCTTTGCCTTTCGGAAGCTCGCAACCTGGAGAGTGGACGGAAGTAACAGATGTTACAACAAGGCAGAACTAAACAAATGCTGGATGCTGGTAACAAGCAACAGGAACGAGGGCAGATGAAACAAGGCAGTCTGAGCACACGGAATTCCCGTCCTCCTCTGGGACCCGGGAAAGGCCTTGCGGAAGGCAGCGTCCGTGTGTGCTGAGTGCTGAGCAGGATCAGAGGGGGAGAGCAGAGACTCGGGGCGGCACAGGAAGCACGAGGGTGCTCAGACACCCTGAGCGAGGCTAGTCCCTGGGCTGGCTGGGGACAGAGCGTGGGGTGCCGAGAGGCAGACACTGCCCCCAAAGACCTTCCGCAGGGCATCACGGGACCCCACGAGCCAGCCCGCAGCACTGCCGTCAAGCCCCAGAGCTCGACGTGCCCCATCTGGCTCCTTTCCAGCTCACAGAGTTTCTAATTATGCCAGTTAACAGTCCCCTAACCTGAATTCCCAGTTTTTATGTCAGTTTTCCAACTTTTAGGAAAAACATCAACCAATTAAAAGCACGATATTGACAACCGCATACCTCATATTCCTCTGCGAACCCACAGTTGGAGTCGGCTTGCTGCTTCTTAAAGTAGGCCTCGAAATTCTCCACCCTGATCAACTTGGATCTAAGGAAACAAAGCATTTGGATTTTCTACATTCAGTGAAGTTCATACTCAAAAGAACTAAATACAAGTTATAAAAGAAAGTAAAGAGGTTACTCACTTTTTAGGTCTTCATCATAGAAAGGAAAAGAAAAAAAAAATAAGCCATTAGAAAGACTCATTCTCTGGATATGACAGTGAACATCTTCCCCAAAGAACAATAATTTAGGGGCATGGGGGTCAAGGTCACATTATTTACAAACCACTGCAGTGTAAGTCAGGAAACCTGATTTCTAGATCCTGTTGTATAACTGACTGGCTCTGTGACTTTAAGTAAGTTCTTCTCTCCCGCTAAATCTTGATAATCCATTCAATTATTTTAATCACGAAATATATATTTACTGGTAGAACAGAAGAACATGACAAAGCAGCTAGCTTCAGGAGAGTAATAAAACATAGATTCCCTGCAGAAAACAGAGCAAGCAAGAACTTCGAGACGATCACAGTCAAATGTGTCAATCAGGAAAAATGACAGCAAGTTCCGTCAGAAATTCCCTAGATAGTCACTGAACAGATTGAGGGATTTCGTGTCTTAAAATAAAGCTCATATCTTGAGAGACTTACTTAATTTGAGAAAAGGACACTTCATTGTTCTTTGCATCTTTCCTGTTTTGAAAGAAAAGAGACCCATTAGACCAAAAAGGTTCATTCTGTGCATCTCTGTGCTTTGCATATCTGCAAAATGACTTTTCTCCAGGCACCAGTTCATATGTGAAAGTAAATCCTGCCCACTAAGGGGCTTAATACTAAGCGTAATACTAAGCTTAATGTTCCAAGCAACAAACGCTGACTACAGATCTATGAAGGTGTTTCCTTTAACACTACCCTAAAAGTATGAAAAAATCAAACTCAAACAACTTTTAGGAATTTTCTTGCAAATATATATCAGCAGAATTATCTTACTGTAAGGCAAGCCTCAGTATCTTGTGCTCTGCTTTTGACAATGTTTTTCTGATAAGTTAATGCAATAAGCCAAAAAACATATCAGATTCAGTGCAGACAAGTTGGTCAGACACCTACACTCTCCCACATTGCTGACTAAACTCCACATTGGTGTTTTAAAAAATCTTTCCAGAAGGCGATCTGGTAGTATGCATCAAAATTGAAAACAGACAACCCCACCAACCCAGCAATTGCCCAGCTTGGAATTTGACCTAAGGAAATAATGCTGAATGTGCCCAAAGATTTAGGCACAAGGATAAGTAACTATAGCAAAACCAAACAAAAAAACCTGAAAACTGAAAATATCTAGGAAATTGGTTAAATAAACGATGGCACTTCCACATAGTCGAACACTCTCTAGCCACTTAAAATGACGATGAAATGAAGCTGCCCATAATGTCTCAAGTGAATAAAGCAGGCTAGACACTAGCATGTATGATTCCATTTGTGTGTAAATTTGTGTGTGAGTTCCGTAATCACATCAAAATATTAACAGTAGTTTTGTAGTTTTGTGTGTATGCTACAGTTATGGATTACCTATTTATTTTTGTTCTTTTCTGAATTTTTTTGCGTTGTTTTTTTTTTTTTTTTTTTTTACCGGAAAACCATTAAGGTTGTTTTCCCCGGCCCTTGACTTCCCCCTCCCCGCTTCCACCCTGCAAAAATCAGAACCTAATATTAATATAAAAGCTGTGCAAAGCACCATATTTATCCAATGCTCCTCAGCTTCACCAGTTAGGCACGATTATTATCCCCATATGGTAGGTGAGGACACAGAGGCTAAGCTTCCTAACTGCTAGTCGTAGACGGAGGCTGTGTTCAAACTTAGCCCTAAAATGAAGTCTCTTAACACTCCACTGTGGAAAGGATCTGCGAATGAGAATCACCCTTTGAAAGGAGCATGGCACTCCGCTGCGTTTACCGACGGCCTGACGTGATGGCTGTGATGATGGCTTTAAAGTCCCCCGCCTGAGTACAGATGCCACGGTATTGGCCAGATGGTGAACACCGCAGGTGACGGGAACATGGCGCTCACCGTACTACTCCTTCCCATTTGGAGAAAGTTTGAAATTTCCCACAATAAAAAGCTTCCTTAAATAGTAAAGTATTATTATGAGGATAAGAAGTATCACCTTTTCTTTCTCCAGAAGATGAAGCCTCCCACGGCCACAATCACCAGGGCACCGAAGATACATCCAAACACGGCTCCACAGATGACACCTGGGAAACGCCCACATGGGAGACGCTGCAAGAGGTGCTCACGCAGGCCCCCGTGCCGCAGTGACAACCGGCCCAGGCCCTCACACCAGAGGGTCTGGGGGTGTGGGGGGAGGTGTACACACACACACACACACACACGAGAGTTAAGTAGCTTTGGACTATTTCAAATTAGTCTAAGTTTAAAGTTCAGGTCCAGCTAGTTTTGCACCTAAACTCAGGAGCTGGTTTCTTTGTCTCCAATCCACCAACTGGAAGGTCTTGAGAAAGTCACTATTCCTCTCCAGGTGTCAGTTTCTTCAAGCACAAATTCAGGGAACTGGGCTAGATCAGTTATTTTCTTTCCACCTCTGACTTTTTGAGACCAGCATGCACATACAAATGAGCAGAGGTACCTACAGCACCACACAGGCTACGTGAAATCTACTGTTTACTGGGGAAGGGTGTGGGGACTCCCTAAGCTTTGCATCTGGGGCAGGAATTCTTCCCTACACCCAACAACTGCACCCAACACAAACTAACAAACCACTTGGTCCATCTGTCTCTGGCCTGGAGATGGGGGACGTACCCCCGCAGGTCCCTGAGGATCCTGTATCACTTAGGTCTGTGTAACAAAGGGGAGGAGCACTTGACAAGGAGTCCAAGACCAGGGCCAGGAACAGTGGCTCACGCCTGTAATCCTAGCTCTCTGGGAGGCCGAGGCGGGTGGATCGTTTGAGCTAAGGAGTTCAAGACCAGCCTGAGCAAGAGCGAGACCCCATCTCTACTATAAATAGAAAGAAATTAATTGGCCACTAAACTATAAAAAATATAGCCGGGCATGGTGGGCGCATGCCTGTAGTCCCAGCTACTTGGGAGGCTGAGGAAGCAGGAGGATTGCTTGAGCCCAGGAGTTTGAGGTTGCTGTGAGCTAGGCTGACGCCACGGCACTCACTCTAGCCTGGGCAACAAAGCGAGACTCTGTCTCAAAAAAAAAAAAGGAGTCCAAGACCAGAATTTCTGCCTCTAAAGCTACCGTGTGACCCCAGGCAAGTGACTCCCCTCTCTGGGCTTTAACAGCCTTATTTCTGAAAGGGGCTTGGACAAGACAAGTTCTGTGGCTCCTTCTGATGCTAATATTCAAGGATTCTATGCACCATGTCACAGGATGTGCCTGCCATGTGGGCATATAAGTGACCACACTGAGATAATGGGACAGAATAATCTTTGCAGACTGGAAGGCAAACAGCACTCAGAGAAGGAGAGTGTGGGCGCTGGGCTGTGGGGCCTCAGAGGAGGAAGCTGAGGACAGCCCAGGGACATCTCAACTTCTGGAAGGGAGAGCCGGCCACTCCAACTATCCCAGCCAGCCTTCTGTGGAAACCTGGAGCAAAACCCCACTGAACGGGCTGTCTTCCCTCTACCTGGATCCTGGGGCAAGAAAACGGCATCTGAGTAGCGACTGAAGGACACATAGCTCTCAGCCCCATCGATGATCCCGTAGTTCTGAGGGTGAAAGGTAATGTTGGTGAAGCCAGCCACACACGCCCTGTGGGTGACAAAGAGCAGAAAGAGGTGGCTGAGACATGTCTGGCGCCCCACACACGAGGCTCAGCCCCCAGAGAACAGGGCTGGGAAGACGTTACCGGTAGGAGCCCAGCGGTTCCAGCTTCCCGTTGTAATAGCCAAGTGTGGTCGACTCGTTCCCAACGTCAATTTCGTATTTTGAGACTTCAGACGAGCCCTGAGAACGTCCCTTTTCTTCTGTTCTGATGAGGTATGTCACGTAAGTGTCCGAGGCTCCCTTTTTGAAATCCTCATACGTATATTTCAAGACGTCGGGAGAAGGGTGACCAGCTGAGAAAGGCACACAGAAGGAAAGTCATGAGAAAGTGATGGCTGGGAGAGGGTTAAGTCTCCCCATAGCCAAATAACCACAGGACGCTGGGTGGTAACGGTGTCAGCGACCCTCTCTGAAGTATCGCTCTGTGCCAGTTCTAAGTGCTTTACCTACACGAACTCATTTCATCCCCACAAAACTCATTGCCCAAGCTTACCCCCATTTGACAGATGAGAAAATGAAGGCACAGAAAGCTAAGAGGCCCTGGCCCAAGATCACACCACCTACGAGGTGGAGCTGAATTTCCAACCCAGAGTGTGTGGCTTGGAGCCGGTGGTCTCGCCCAACCCAGGCTGGCACCGGGCAGTCTCACTGCCTCCCTCAATGTGATGTGTTGAAAACCGTCACAGCAAAATGACAGCGAGCTTGAAACAGACCCAAAATAAAGAGACAGAAAGGGAGAGGGATCTCAACCTCACTTTTTGAAACTTTGCCACAGGTTATCATACAAGCACATTTCTACCCTGCAGGATCCCCGTCCCTTGCCGGTATTATGCCTGGTCCCCGTGTTGCTCAAGGAGACCAGAATGACAGCACAGGAAGAGACTGGGCAGAGGGGGCACTGCATCATTCACATTTCGTTTAAAGAATCCCCAAAACAACAAAACTTGATGTTTTAAATCTAGGCCTTATGCAAAGCACTCACGAATAGCTGCCAAAGACACTCAATTATTCCCTTCTTACTACCAAGGAATGTAACAAAGTCCTTTTAAGGAAAAGCAGCCTTTAACGCACCTCCTCTCTCAGCTACCGGGATGCTCTTTACAAGATCCTGCTAACAAATGCAAACCTTTTTCTGTCTGCTTTCAAGACAAAGTCATCCCCTGAGGACGACGGGTATGTGTTTCTGTGTGTGTGAGAGATACATAGAGAGAGTTCGTTAAGACTAATATTCTGCTACCTAAAAGGCCTTATGATGTAAAAGAGAAGAAAAACCTAGATCACAGGCCAGCAAGTCATGTTCATTCTTTATGTATCTTCTATGACTTCTTTCACACTACAGTGGAGTTCAATCGTGTGACAGAGGCTGTAAGGCCAGCAAAATTAAAATATTTGCTATCTGGCCCTGCAGAGAAAGCATATCAACTGTCAGCCTAGCAGCTCACCCCCACCCCCCGTGTGAGTGCAAAGCACGGGCTGCAGCACACAGACAGGCGTGTATCGGCATCACTAATGTGCTCCGGTGGGCACAGAGATGGCACCGGTCACAGCATCACTCATGAACTGCTTAACCCACGGAGGCCCCTCCTTACCTTCCCCAGTGGTGAGAATGACAGCGTAGGCTTTGATGGGCCCATGGCTGGCTTCAAATCCACTGAATTTGACCTTTATGGAATTGTGGCTGAGAGATGTAATGTTAGGGGATTCATCTGGAGGAGGGGGGTCTGGAAAAAAACAAGACAAACTATGATCACCCAACATTTAAAACCAAAGAAGGAGCAAAATGATTAGGTAGAGAATGTGCTTCAGTGCCGTCCTGGAGATCTGCCCCTGCTCTGGGAGCTGCATGCTGGGCTCGTGCAAAGCCAATCTAGAAGCAACGGGCAGGGAAGAAAATTGGTGATGAGCAGACATAGATCCTGGTAATCCTGACGAGCTCAAAGGGACCCCTCAGTGTGTCCAGCCTCATGTCCAGGGTGGGTGCCCAGCAGCCTTCTTTGATTTTGTTGTTATTAGTGCCGTTGTTGTTGCTTCTAACACTATATGCTTTTATTTTTTAATAGATTTATTGAGGCATAACTAGAATACTACCAAAGGGGTAAAAGACTTATACAATGAAAACTACAAAACACTGATGAAAGAAATGTAAAAAGACACAAATAAATGGAAAGACATCCCATGTTCATGGATTGGAAGACTTAATATTATTAAAATGTCCATACCACTCAAAGAGATCTACAGATTCAATGCAACCTCAACCAAAATCAACCAAAATCCCAATGATATGTTTTACAGAATAGAAAAAACAATCCTAAAATTCATATGGAATCATGAAAGACTCAGAATAGCCAAAGTGATCTTGAGAAAAAACAAAGCTGGAGGCCTCCTCACACATCCTGATTTCAAAATATGTTACACAGCTACAGTAATTAAAACAGTATATGGCCAGGTACGGTGGCTCACACCTGTAATCCTAGCACTCTGGGAGGCTGAGGCGGGCAGATTGCTCGAGGTCAGGAGTTCAAAGCCAGCCTGAGCAAGAGGGAGACCCGTCTCTACTATAAATAGAAAGAAATTAATTGGCCAACTAATATATATAGAAAAAATTAGCCAGGCGTAGCGGCACATGCCTGTAGTCCCAGCTACTTGAGAGGCTGAGGCAGCAGGATTGCTTGAGCCCAGGAGTTTGAGGTTGCTGTGAGCTAGGCTGATACTACGGCACTCACTCTAGCCTGGGCAACAAAGCGAGACTCTGTCTCAAAAAAGAAAAACAAAACAGTATAGTATGGGCATAAAGACAGACATAGACCTATGCAACAGAATAGAAAGCCCAGAATTGAGCCCACATAGACAGTCAACCAATCTTTGACAGGGGCACCAAGAATACAAATGGGGGAATGACAGTCTCTTCAACAAACGGTGTTGAGAAAATTGGATATCCACATGATGCCGAACTCCTATTTTACACCAGACACAGAAATGAACTCTGAATGGGTTCAAAACTTAAATATAAGTCCTAAAACTAAAAATCCTATAGAAAAATGTTTTAAAATAGGGAAAAATCTTCTTGATATTGGTCTTGACAGTGGTTTCTTGGATATGATGACAAAAGCACAGCAAGAAAACCAAGATTGGAGAAGCAGAATTACATCAAAAATCATAAAAAGCTTTTGCACAGTAAAGGAAACAACAGAATGAAAAGCCAACATCCTTGTTTGGTGAAGATAATCTACCTTTGTCATCTCCCCAGTCCCTCTGACTCAAGATGGACCAGGTTCCTTTTCCTGAGAACTGGGGTGGAGGAAAGAGAGTGAGAAAGACACCGTGTGGGTGGAACTCAAAGGTGGATTTGGGAGCTGTCCACAGACACCACGTGGACTTGGCCCCAGGGTCAGCGTTGGCTGGGAACAAAGATGCATGAGGTGTCCAGGGAGAAGAATCAAAGATGAGACGGGGAGGGAACACACATCCTCCAGAGACCTGGGCACATTCCTGCTCCATGCCCTTCACACTACAGTCCCCCCATTTTTGCAGGAGTTGGTCTAAAATATCACTGAGAGAAACCCAACAGGCTTCCTTCCTAGAAACCAGAGAAGCCCACACAGGAATGCCCCATGGGTGACCTTCATAAATATGTGAAGCCAGTCTCTGAATTAACACAAAAGGAAGAAAATGCTGAATTAAAGATGATCCTTCTCCGCATATACTCTTTCTACCTAAATTTGTCTCCCACATACAGTTTGTGTTGTTCTCATTATTACACTAAAGATTCAGGGAGACTGAGAAAACTGAACTCCAAAACAGTCACAGCACGATACTCTACGCTTGCCCCGTCCAACATGGCAGCCACCAGCCACGTGTAGCTGCAGAGTCCTTGAAACATGACTGGTTTGAATTCAGATGTGCTAAAAGTATAGAATATGAACTAGATGCCAAAGACTTAGTACAAAAAGGAATGTAAAATATGTCACGAATACTTTAGACAAATTATGTGTACAAATAATCTTTTTAATACATTGGGTTAAATAAAATGTTATTAATTTTAATTTCAGCAGTTCCTCTTTACTGTTTTAAATATGGCTACTAGAAAACTTTAAATTACACATGAAGCTCACATTGTATTTCTAGGGGATGGCGCTCCTCTTAAACTACAAGTGTCAGCAACCTCTCAAGTAACTGACAGCAGTGACCGCTGGGAGGTGCTGTTCCCATGTCTGATGGCCAGCTGTGAGCACAGACGTTTCCTACCAGTTTTAAGCCTTGCAGCTGCCCAGGGAGGGTCCCCCGCTGCCCACCCAAGGCTGGCAGCAGCATGCTAGCTCACCCACCATCAGACCTGGAAATCCTCCCCCTCTCAGCTCACCTCAATCCTGCGCTCCAGGGGCCCTGGTGGCCTTACTCTCCATCCTTGTCCCTCACTGCAGCACACGATAAGCCACCAACAAATGTGAGCTAGAAAACTATCCCTCCAGCTCTCCCTGACCTACCCATCCCTCCAACACTTCCAAACTCTTACAGAAACGGCAACTCCACTTTTATGTGATGCATGTTAAATTTGTACATAAAAATGCATCTGAGGCCAGGCGTGGTGGCTCATGCCTGTAATCCTACCACTTTGGGATGCCAAGGAAAGAGGATCACTTGAGATCAGGAGTTCTAGACCAGCCTCAGCAAAAGCAAGACCCCATCTCTACAAAATACAAAAATCAGTCAGGAGTGGTAGCACACGCCTGTAGTCCCAGCTACTTGGGAGGCTGAGGCAGGAGGATTAAGCCCAGGAGTTTGACGTTGCAGTGAACTATGATGACACCACTGCACTCTAGTCAGGGCAACAGAGCAAGACCCTGTCTCCAAAAAAAAAAAGCATCTGAGGAAAGGAAGCTACAGATTAAAAAGTGAGAGACTCATTAGAGTAAATATGTGGCCATTACCCAACCCTATCACACATTGTTCAGCTTCCAAAACAACTCAATTTGATGACCTCCTGACCTCTAGGCCAGGGACTGTGCTCAGCCCTGGAGATATCAAATCAGACAGGATTTCTATTCTGCAGCTTATATGCACTGAGGAGATGACATCATGAAAGAGAACTACAAAAATGTATATAAAATGTTCACTGTTTCTTTCATGTTCTGGAGTGTTGCAGAAACTCATAAGAGTATGACCCAGAGCTGTGCACAATTGTGCACTACACAACTCTAATCCATACAAATAGTATCCCATGGAATTGTGCAGTGCACAACCTGAGCAGCTTTATATGGCAGACCTGAAGTAGTCTTCAGCACACATTACCTCATCTAATTTGTACAACAGTCCTTCAAGGTAAGTATTATTTTCCCCTTTTTACACTAAGGAAAACAATGCTCAGAGAGGTGGAGTAGCTTTCCTAAGATCACACAGCTGGCAAAAGGCAGAACTTGGAATCAAACCCAGGTCTGCCTATCTACGTCTGAGTCTCTGCCCACAGAGCCCCTCAGCACTTTCCAAATCAGGTCCTAAAGTAAAAGGCCCTTTTTTCTTACTATTACAACCACTAATTCCTTAGAAACTGTCATAAACATTGTGATGCCCTAAAGAAAACACATCCAGGAGTCAAAAAGCACAAAGAGAAATGGAACCCCACCAGGCTGATCTAAGACACAACTTTGGCAAAGACAGTGGGAGCAAAAGACAAATAAAATGAAACGAAGACACAAGAAGTAATTTTTCCAAGCACACACACACCAAAAGACAGGCCAAGAAAAGATTAACTACGTAGTGAGTGATGATTCTGTTTCCCAAAACAGCTCAGCAGCTTGTTAATATGATTTCCAGGGAAATATGAGTCTTGACTGAATACCTGATAATAGTACAAAAAGGTCTTAAATTTTTTTAAGTGTAGTGTTAATATTAACATGGCTATGTTTGAAAGAAAGAAAAAAGGACTCCCTATCTTGAAGTAATACATACTGAAATATTTAGAAATAAAGTTATATAATGATCAGGACTGGTTTCAAAGTATCCACAAAGGGAAAGGAGGAAAAGATACAAATGAAACAAACAGGCCAAGAGCTGACGCGTGTCCCACTGGGTGAGGACAGACACATGGGTTTCATCACACTATTCTCTACTTTTGTGTATATTTTAACATTTCTATAAAAATGCTTTTTTTTTAATGCAGAAAGGGAGCTAACTACTTAAAAGAAAATGTGGCAATTAGATATTTTGTAAAGAAAAGGAACCTTTTAGAATGTAAAAAATGGGTCCTTCTTACTCTGCCTTTTTTAGACTGGATTTCAATAGACCAGGAAACCAGTCTATGCAAGTAAAAGCAAATATTTTAGAGGAAATAAAAAACAAAAACTGATTTCTAGGCCACACTCTCAGACCCACTGGGTCTGCCTCTCTGGGGTGACCACGATGCGGGGTGACCAGGATGGCACGAAGGGGTGGCAGGGCTTCCCACCCCTGCCACAAAGCCCACCTGTGATGCCAGTGACACAGGTGTTTTGGGCAGGAAATGCCATCTTTTCACAGGACACGGTGGTGATGCTGATGTTGTACGAGGTAGAAAAATTCAAATAGGTGACTTCCGTCCTGTACTCGGTGCCATTCTCGGAGGAGCAGCTCTCCAGGTGCGTCGTGTTGTCCCAGGCCCCGCTGCTGACCTGCAGCTTGAAGCCTGCATTGGCACCAGGAGGGCAGGCCCATCGGAGAGCCAAGGCTGGCTCCTTGGAGACCACGTCACAGTGGAAGGAGGCCACAGATGCGGGATCTGCAAAGCAAGCACAGCGCAGCGTGAGACGCCCTCTGAAACCGTCCTCTGTTAAACATGAGACTCTTCCCTTTACCACACTTTGTGAATTGTGAGATAGGTAGGGATCAAGAAGGCCGAAAAGATTGAGCATCATTTTAACAGTATCCTTTCCTTCTCCTTCAGTGTAAAAGCCAAACCAAGAACTGCACGGCCAGACATCACCTGTGCCCTGGCCCTGCATTGCTCAAGCGGGCCTTACCTCCCGCCCTGCATGCGCCTGCTCCCACGGCTCCACTCCCGCCACCCCAGGCTCTGGCTCTTCCTTCCTCCAACACAGCAGGCAGACTCCAGCCCCAGGGCCTTTGCACTGGCTGCTCCTCTGCCTGTAAGGTTCTCGTGCCCTGACAGCCACATGGCTGGCTCCTTCCCTTCCTTCAGATCCTTGCTCAACAGTCACCTCTTCATTGAGGCCTCTCCTGAGCACCCTAGATAAACATCTCATTCCTCCTTCCAGAATAAAAGTTCCAAGAAGGCAGGGACTTGTCTGTCTGGCATATTGTTAATGCTCAATAAACATCTGAAGAAATGATGAGGGCATCAAGACAGCACTAGTGAGCTAATATAATGTCTCGGGAGAGCTCGATGTGTATCTGCACACACACGAAACCTGACTCCAGACTGTGGAGGACCTACCTGCAAGGTCAACCCCACCTGGGAAGGAGTCCAAGAGGCACCTGGGACCACTCACCTGTACAGAATGACTCCCTCCCGGGTGCCAGGGACTCGGTAACATCCCCCACTTGTGCAAAGATCTCCACATTGTAAGATGAGCCAGGTGTTAATTCAGTGACTGCAGCGTAAGTGACTCCAATGGCCGAGACCACCTGGGTGGCACTGCTGGAATTTCCAACTTGCTCAATAAGAAGGCGGTAGGAGTACGTGGCAGAGGCTTCATCGGAGTTATTCCACCTTAAGGCTGCCGCTGTGGTGTTGGTGCTTATTTCAATGTTGGACACTTCGCTGGGCCCTTGAGTTAGGAGAAAAAAAAATTTTTTTTTTAAGTAAAAGTATGAATTAGCTAGAATTCCAGGACTATTTTATTTACTACCTCCAAAAATACCCTGGCTCCTTTTGGAAAGAATTATTAAAGCTACTATTTGCTGGTTCAAAAGATGGAAAATTTCCCAAAAAGACATTCGGTAAATAATTATACAGACTAAATCTCAACAGAGTAAAAGCATTTCAGGCTTCTTTGAATACTTCGACTTTATCGGAAATATATGTTAATATTTTAAGACATAATTTCTAATCTGTTTTTCAAATCTGACAGCTAAAAGAGAAACACATACGAAAAATGTTATTAGAAACTAACATCTCTACCACATATTTAGTTCGAATAGTGGCAAAACACCCCCATCACTACTGCAGGCAAAGCTCTCCACCAAACAGTATCTTCTAATGCCAACAGGACGAGGCGCCTGTATGCCCAAGGAACGCATGGGACAGGTATGTCCTCCATTCCCACGGAACCACTTCCTGCTTGTAAAGGCAGTTGCAAGTTCACGAGCGGCAACACCAGTGTCCCACGAGGACAGCAGAGGCCGGTGTTTTCGACGTCAGCACTTTCGGCTTCGACCTGGAGCCCAGAAGCACACTGGCTCCCACCCCGCCTGTACACGGCACCTCCCCCGCGAGAACGCCAGGGAGAGCCCCCTCAGAGGGCGTCCTAAGGGACTTACGTGTGTACTGCGCAGTGGAGTTGGCGTCCCCACGGACATGGTCCACCTCAGGAGAGACTGTGATGTTATACAATGTGCCGGGGACCAGCTGCCCGAGAGTGACCCCTTTGTGGGACGTGCTCGTGCGGTTAGAGCCGTGCTGGGACTGCACGGCCACGTGGTAGACGTACTCAGACGCGCTGTCCTCGCTCGCCCACTCCAGCTCCATCTCCATGGTGGTGACCCGGACGACGTGGATGTCGAACACTGCGCTGGGGGCTGGCCAGAGGACACGGAGGCAAATGAGACCTGTTAGTGACCCCCATGATGCCCAGCTTCATCTCCAAGTGTCTGTCAAGAGAACTTGCTGTTTCGCCATCAAACTCTCAAATGCAACCACAAAAAGGAAAATTCCAAAACTGAGGTAAGAAATGCACACGCTTGGTTCTTTTAGGAATTTTGGCTCTTCCACGACAACAGATGTACCTGCCGGTTCATCATACCAGTTTCTCCGGTCTTTTGCCTTTGTCATAAAAATGATCCCCTCGAGGGGTCGTCTGGAGGCAAAATCACGTTCAGTTTCTTGATCTGGGTGCTGGTAACCAGATGTGTCCAGTTTGTGAAAACACATCCAACTGTGCGTTGAGGGTATGTGCGGTTTGGGGTGTGTATATTATATATCAACAAAAGGGGTGTTTTGTTTTTTTAGATCACTCACTCAAAAGAAAACACCTTCCTGTGATATAACCTGACACACTGAAGAGGAAAACTGAAATGGAGAGCTGACATTTGCCAAATATTAGCATTTAAGGTCTCGTGAGGAAGGGAAGAAAACACACGTGCCCCCTCCACCCTCAAAATCGGGAGTCAAGCCGGGCACGGTGGCTCACCCCTGTAATCCTAGCACTCTGGGAGACCAAGGCAGGCAGATTGCTCAAGGTCAGGAGTTCGAAACCAGCCTGAGCAAAAGCGAGACCCCGTCTCTACTATAAATAGAAAGAAATTAATTGGGCAACTAATATATAGAGAAAAAGTTAGCTGGGCATGGTGGTGCATGCCTGTAGTCCCAGCAACTCGGGAGGCTGAGGCAGGATGATAGCTTGAGCCCAGGAGTTTGAGGTTGCTTTGAGCTAGGCTGATGCCATGGCACTCACCCTAGCCTGGGCAACAAAGCAAGACTGTCTCAAAAA